AGGGAGGCTGCATGGATTGCACAGCTCCAAAAATATTTACTATCTAGATCTTTCAATAGTTTACTGACCCCTGATCTAGTAGAATGTGTGTGTTACTAATCCTGGGAGATTCTTGCCAGTCAGTGTCAGATAAATAGGCTGATTTTATTTCTGTATATGGAAACTTCAGTGTATACATACAAACACCTTTCCATTTTTTTTTTAACTGCTAAGGATTTCTTTTCCCATTTATATTGCTTATTGTAAGGTTGAGTGGTCCAACTATTTGTCCTACTTTAATTTCTTCTTACCACTTAACCTCCCTCCACGTTGTTTAATCAGCTAATTATATATGATGCCACAGCAGGGTTCTGAGCTTCATGTTTGTTTACATGTCTCTGTGACCTTAGGTTTTCTTTTTTTGTCTTATGAATTAATTGATGGTATATAAATGTTCATGGAAATAGCATTTGCTCAAAATGACAATAGTCTCTCAGAAATAAAGATTGGAATGATTAAGTATTTACCATGGTCTGTAAATTCCTCTTACTTTCCTTTAACTGATAGGACTATTCACATTGGAAAAGCTTGAATTAGAGGTAGAAGGAGTGGGGATTTTGGGGGTCAGTCATGGTTCCACTTTCCTTGGAAGCCAAGGTTAGTTTGCAAGCATAGAATTGCAGTGTGAATGACCAACAAGGTACGACTGGTCTTTAGATCTTCATTACTCTGAGATTTTCAAGGACTGCCACTGTTTCGTGATAAAAAGAAATAGATTGAATTTTAATTTTCATGGTACTTTGTAATGCTGTATTATGATATTGTAGTTTTGAAATAATTTTATATTTGAGAAAAATTGCAAAAATAGTATAGACTGTTTCCACATACCCTTCATTCGCCTCTAATGTAATAGTGGACATAACTGTAGGACAATTACCAAAGGTAGGAAACTAGTAACATTGAGTCAATACTGTCTGTAGCCCTCATCTGAATTTTGTCTTTTTTTTTTTATAAATGTATGATGTATAAATGTATGATTTTATAAATGTATGATTTATAAATGTATGATTTATACATGTATGACTTTTTTATTTATATATGAAATTTATTGTCAAATTGGTTTCC